CCCCCCCCGCCCCCCCCCCGCTCCAGCTAGCTACACGGAGCGAGACATGCTGCTCCGCTGGAGGCTGGAGCAGGCGGTGGTGGTGGCGGACGGACTCAGCATCCCCCACTTTGCGCTGGATCACAACATCACCCTGGAGGACTGCGCGGAGACCTACCGCACAGGTACCACGTGGTGCCTGCACAGGTGTCACGTGGGGCCTGTACAGGTGTCACGTGGGGTCTGTACAGGTACCACGTGGAGCCTGTACAGGTGTCACGTGGAGCCTGTACAGGTGTCACGTGGGGTCTGTACAGGTGTCACGTGGGGTCTGCACAGGTGTCATGTGGGGCCTGTACAGGTGTCACGTGGGGTCTGTACAGGTACCACGTGGGGCCTGTACAGGTGTCACGTGGGGTCTGTACAGGTGTCACGTGGGGTCTGCACAGGTGTCACGTGGGGCCTGCACAGGTGTCACGTGGAACCTGTACAGGTACCACGTGGGTGGTCAGCAGACGTTGACTACCTCGCCTGGTACGCAGGAGGTCGTGGGTTCAATCCCAGACACTGAGAGATGTTGACTACCTCGCCTGGTACGCAGGAGGTCGTGGGTTCAATCCCAGACCCTGAGAGATGTTGACTACCTCGCCTGGTACGCAGGAGGTCGTGGGTTCTATCCCACACACTGAGAGATGTTGACTACCTCGCCTGGTACGCAGGAGGTCGTGGGTTCAATCCCAGATACTGAGAGATGTTGACTACCTCGCCTGGTACACAGGAGGTCGTGGGTTCAATCCCAGACACTGAGAGATGTTGACTACCTCGCCTGGTGCGCAGGAAGTCGTGGGTTCAATCCCAGACACTGAGAGATGTTGACTACCTCGCCTGGTACACAGGAGGTCGTGGGTTCAATCTCAGACACTGAGAGATGTTGACTACCTCGCCTGGTGCGCAGGAGGTTGTGGGTTCGAGCCCGACCCTGCCGATGCTGTAGATTTGGAGTCTGTGTTTCTCTCTATCACTCATCGTCATCATCGCGGTGGCTCGGAGATGTTAACTTCCTCACTCATACACCCACCCACCTATCCACTCACTCACCCACTCCCTCACACACCCACTCACTCAATCATTCATCCACCCACCCACCTACTCACTCACTCACCCTAAAACCCACCCACTCAATCACCCACCGACTCACCCACCCACTCACTCACCCACCCCCCCACCCACCCACCCACTCACTCACCCGCTCACCCACCCACCCACTCACCCACCCACCCGCTCACTCACCCACCCACCGCCCCACCCACCCACCCACCCACTCAATCACCCACCCATCCACCTGCTCACCCACCCACCCACTCACCCACCAACTCACCCACCAACCTGCTCACCCACTCACTTAACCACCCACACACCCACCCACCCACTCACCCACCCACCCGCTCACCCACCAACCCCCCTACCCACCCACTAACTCACCCATCCACCCACTCACCCACCCACCCACTCACCCACCCACCCACCTACTCACCCACCCACCAACAACTTACCCATCCACCCACCCACTCACCCACCCACTCATCCACCCACCCACTCACCCACCCACTCACCCACCCACTCACCCACCCACTCACCCACCCACTCACCCACCCACCCACTCACCCACTCACTCACTCACTTACCCACCCACCCACTCACCCACCCACCCGCTCACTCACCAACCCCCCCATCCACCCACCCACTCACCCACCCGCTCACCAACCCCCCCATCCACCCACCCACCCACCCGCTCACCAACCCCCCCATACACCAACTCACCCACCCACCCTCTCACCCACTCACCCGCCCACTCACCCACCCACTCACCCTACCGCAGGCATGTTCCCGTGCCTGAAAGCGACGTTCACGCTGAGCCGGCAGATGGGCTACTACGTGACGCAGCTCTACGTGCCCAGCCTACTGCTCGTCATGGTCTCGTGGCTCTCGTTCTGGATCAACAAGGAGCCGGCCCCGGCACGCGTCGGCATCGGCACCAGCACCATCCTCAGCATGATCACCAAGAGCACGGGCTCGCGAGCCATGCTGCCCAAGGTGCGTGGTGGTGGATGTGGTGGAAGTGGAAGTGGTGGTGGTGATGGTGGTGGAGGTGGAGGTGGTGGAGGTGGTGGAAGTGGTGGTGGTGGAGGTGGTGGAGGTGGTGGAAGTGGAAGTGGTGGTGGTGATGGTGGTGGTGGTGGAATTGGAAGTGGTGATGGTGGTGTAGGTGGTGGTGGTGGAGGTGGTGGAGGTGGTGGAAGTGATGGAGGTGGTGGAGGTGGTGGAGGTGGTGGTGATGATGGTGGTGGTTGTGTAAGTGGAGGTGGTGGTGATGGTGGTGGTGATGGTGGTGGTGGTAGAAGTGGAGGTGAAGGTGGTGATGGTGGTGGAGGTGGTGGTGGAGGTGGTGGAGGTGGTGGAAGTGGTGGAGGTAGTGGAGGTGGTGGAGGTGGTGGTGATGATGGTGGTGGTTGTGTAAGTGGAGGTGGTGGTGATGGTGGTGGTGATGGTGGTGGTGGTAGAAGTGGAGGTGAAGGTGGTGATGGTGGTGGAGGTGGTGGTGGAGGTGGTGGAGGTGGTGGAAGTGGTGGAGGTGGTGGAGGTGGTGGTGATGATGGTAGTGGTGGTGGTGGAGGTGGTGGAGGTGATGGAAGTGGTAGAGGTGGTGGAGGTGGTGGTGATGATAGTGGTGGAGGTGGTGTAATTGGAGGTGGTGGTGGAGGTGGTGGTTGGCGTGGTGGTGGTGGTGATGGTGGGCGTGGTGGTGGAGGTGGTGGTGGAGATGGTGGGCGTGGTGGTGGAGGTGGAGGTGGTGGTGTAATTGGAGGTGGTGGTGGAGGTGGTGGTGTAAGTGGAGGTGGTGGTGATGGTGGTGGTGGTGATGGCGGAGGTGGTGGTGGTGGTGGTGGAGGTGGTGATGGTGGTGGTGGTGGTGGTGGAGGTGGTGGTGATGTCCGGCAAAAACAACCCCCTACCTCTTCGCTGGTGCCGGACGACAACGCTGTGGTGGGCAGTGCCATGGGGGAGAGGGTCAATTCCAATTGGCCTTTCCCTTCAGGGCATTTGTAGCCACCACAGCGGCCAAATGGGGGCTGTAGATGGGTGCGAGGGGCAGGTTAACCCCACCACCTTCAATTGATTACCACAAATACTACGCCAAAAATATCTAATTAAGCTTGTGCTGGAAGCCTCGGAGGGACAGGCATCTATGACGTCTCCTTGATGAACCCCATTTGGTAGAGCCAAGAGACTTAATCCTTACCCTCGGGGCTCCTCGAGAAACAACAAAAAAAAACTGCGGGTGGCCACGTGGAATGTTTGAATGCTCACTGCGGAGGAGAGGCTGCCACTCCTAGATCTCTGTGGCATTTAGGAGGTCCGGTGGAACGGCACTGGCTCCTGCCACCATGAGAAGTGGACAGTCCTCTACTCAGGGCAGGAGACTTCTAAACAACAGGGAGTGGCTCTTCTTTTGAACAAAAGAATGAAGGGGGCGTGGGAGTGTGGTGGTGAGGTGTGGGAAGCTCTAAGCCCCAGGCTACTTTGGGCTCGCCTTCCCATCAACCAGAGGCGAGGAGTGGGGGTTGTTGTTACTTATTCCTCCACAGAAGACGAACATCCGTGGAGGGATGCAGGCAAGGCTGATAAGTCAGATCCCTTCTGTGATCTCTTGTCACAGGTGCTGGCTAAAGTGGCCCCTCGGGATAGAGTCATCTTGTTGGGCGACTTCAATGCCCGAGTTGGTCATGATGCTGGAACCTGGTCTGGAGTGATTGGAAGGCATGGGCCAGATCAGTTCAATAACAACGGTAGGAGGCCTATGGGCTTGTAATTACCAACACGCTGTTCCGGCATCGGCGAATCCACACAACATCATGGATGCATGCCGGGTCCAAGCAAGAACATCTGCGGGACTACTTAGCGATGGAACAGCGGATGCGGGCCCATGTCCTTGACACCAGGACCTACCGTGGAGCTGATCTGCCCACTGACCATCGACTAGTCATCTGTAAGATGCGCCTGCCATTCCTCCACTCCGGTGGTGGGTGTACACCCAGGACCCCATTCAAACCCTTAGTGGCCTGGTCTCAGCTAGCTGATGGAAGTTGCAAGCGAGAATTTCATCATCGCTTGCAGCTGGGGTTGACATCGTTCTCCACTTCTCCTGATGTCGAGGGGAAGTGGTGATGATGGCGGTGATGATGGTGGTAGAGGTGGTCCTGGTGATCTTGATGGTGGTGGTGATTGTGGTGACGATGGTGATGGTGGTGACGATGGTGGTGGTGATTATGAATTTCATGATGGTCGTGGCGACGACGATGGGCTTGAGCGGCACGATAGGGATCCAACTTCCGGCAACAGCCTTGAGCTCCTTCTCAGGGCCCCCTCTTTTACTCCCAGCATCGCCTAGCTCCGCCCCCGGACACGCCCCCTTTCTGGAACCTTCTGGCGGGTTCCCGGGGCTTGCCGATGGGCCCCTTCTGTGACCTTTCCCCTTCTCATCAGTTTAACACGTTTAAAAGCTTTCGTGACTGCAGGGATTCATCTTCTTGGTTCTTTCGGTAAAGTCACGTAGAAGGGAAGTAATAAAATAATAAAAATAAAACATAATAAAATAAAATATTATATTATTTTATTATATTATTATATTATTTTATTATGTTTTATTTTTATTATTTTATTACTTCCCTTCTACGTGACTTTACCGAAAGAACCAAGAAGTTTAACACTTGTGAGGCTTTCGCGACCAATATTATTCATAATAAACGTTTTTGGGTTGGATCGCGTTATTTATAAATGTGTCGTAACCCTCCACCACCCGACACGGCCAATCAGCAAAAAATGTGTCACGTTGACAAAATAATAAATAGTTCACTACTTTAGCCCACCGGTGTGTTGAAGAGTGAATCCACAACATTTACAATTTTTGAGTTGTACGACGTTTCGCTGGTAATTACATCCAGCATCATCGTGTCGATTGTGGCCTGCTGACGTGAGTACTGCCGTAAACCGCAGTTACCCTTTGTCGCCAGCCGCTGGCGCTATGCCACTACACTCGTAACTATTTGGCGTTTTGTCTACGTGACAAATCCCTTACTAATTGGCTGCATCGGGTGGTGGAGGGTTGCCACGCAACATTTATACTTACGCGATCTGACCCAGAAAACTTTTCTTACGAATACTAAAAATCGTATTCTTAGGTTTTTTCGGTAAAGTCACGTAGGTAAAAAAATCAAAATTAATAAAAGTAAAATAAAATAAAATACAAACACAGACATAATTTTAACCGTGATGATGGTTACAAACTGAGTAATCATTGGAAAGATGTGATTAACCATGCAAAAAAGATTTAACTACACTTATTTGGACCATCTTATTTGACAGACAACTATTACAGGTTATTGATAGACAGCCAGGCTTGTTTTACCATGTTTAGTTGTTTCTTTTTTCACACTATTGTTATGTAAGCCAGGCTTAGTCACAAACCGTACCTCTCCATAACAAAGGCTCAGCCTCTTAAGCCTCACCTTACCATATGAATAAAAAGTGTGCCGTACTTGGGCCTTCCCCTCTCCAACCATTATATATACGGAGTGGTAGCTCTTGTAACCTCTCATTTACTTGATACAGCTGTCGTGGCTGTGACGGTTCCACCTGAAGACGGAAGCTTGTGTTGTCTCCGAAACGTCGTGATTTTTATTTTATTTAACTTTTATTAATTTAGATTTTTTTTTACCTACGTGACTTTACCGAAAAAACCTAAGAATATGAATACTTGCAGTCACGAAAGCTTCAAATCTAGAACTAAAAATCGTTTAGTTTCGGTGATGCGAAGGCTACAGGGCGGGAGGAGGGAGGGGGGTAAGGAAGGGGGTGGTGGGGGGTTGGGAGTGGGGGATACCCTTTCTTCCTTGGCGTGAAGGTGACGTACACGACCGCGATGGACGTGTGGATGGACACGTGCCTCATCTTCCTCATCGCCGTGCTGGTGGAGTACGCGCTGGTCCAGGCCACGGCGCGCAGGTTCAGGGACCCCAAGGTCATCAAGAACAGCAAGGTGACGTCCGGGGCCGGGGGGAGGTGGGGGGTGCGGGGAACTCATTCGTTCGTTCGTTCATTCGGTCGTCCAAACCGCCAAGCGGATTTCTTTTTTTACGAAAATGAACCTCCTGAAGGTACTGGATCCTCACGCTTCATGGCGCTGGACGTCGGCTCTCCGGCACGACGGACAAGTGTGGCCGGGCAGGGGGGGGGGGCGGTTGAAATGCCGGTAGGCCGTGCTACCGCTGGTTGTTCTCTGCAGTGCGAGGCCTGGTAGAATCAGGCTCTCTCAGGGCATTGTTGAAATGCCGGTAGGCCGTGCTATCGCTGGGATGTTCCCCGCAGTGCAAGGCCCGGTAGAATCAGGCTCTGTAAGGATATTGTTGAAATGCCGGTAGGCCGTGCTATTGCTGGGTTGTTCCCCGCAGTGCACAGCCTGGTAGAATCAGGCTCTGTCAGGACATTGTTGAAATGCCGGTAGGCCGTACTATCGCTGGGTTGTTCCCCGCAGCGCAAGGCCCGGTAGAATCAGGCTCTGTCAGGACATTGTTGAAATGCCGGTAAGCCGTGCTATCGCTGGGATGTTCCCCGCAGTGCAAGGCCCGGTAGAATCAGTCTCTGTAAGGGCGTTGTTGAAATGCCGGTAGGCCGTACTACCGCTGGGTTGTTCCCCACAGCTCAAGGCCCGGTAGAATCAGGCTCTGTAAGGATATTGTTGAAATGCCGGTAGGCCGTGCTACCGCTGGGATGTTCCCCGCAGTGCAAGGCCCGGTAGAATCAGGCTCTGTCAGGACATTGTTGAAATGCCGGTAGGCCGTACGATCGCTGGGTTGTTCCCCACAGCGCAAGGCCCGGTAGAATCAGGCCGTGATCCGTTAGTGGTGCAGCCCTTTGATTTTAAGGCCCACCCCACATTTCGATTTGAAGTGCCTCATAGATATGTTGTGCACGTGGTATCATTCAAAAAATGTTAAAAATGTAAAGATTGTCGTTTTTTTTTCGTTTGACAGAGCGTTAAACAGCAGATACAATTCATGCGAGAACCACTGGGTTCTGCCTTTGATTCTTTTAAAGATATTTCGGATTCAAGCGGTTTTGAACGAAAACAATCCGCATTTTAAGACGTTCAAATCTGACTAATTCGAAAAAAGTAAAGGATAGGAGAGCTCCCCTCCGTAGACTATGAAGTTGATTCGATTTTTATTCTTTCTAATAAAAAAAAGGAACGGAATCTTAAAACTCAGCGGTTTCTGATGGGAGTACGTCTTCAAATATAAGAAGTTGAATCAAGTCGTCAACGCATTTTTTGGGGGGGGAAAATACACATTTTTTGGAGTAGTTGTTGGTGTCTGAGCGTAGATAAAAAAAAGTGTAACAACCAAACAAGTATAACCCGTAAAAACAATTTTTTTCACTATAAATCCTTTATATGCGTGGCGGCTAGAGTCCTCTCGTCCTCTGGCTTGAGATGGCTGCCACCTATGGGTCAGATGATTGCATTGCACCATTAAGCAATTGGTAATGAAACATAATATTTTTTGTCCTAAAAAGTGTAAAATTTTGGGGGAAAAATTTCACGAACATTAATTGTCACGCACAACGAGTCTGTGTGCAAAATGCCAGCTCGATTGGATCACGGGAAGTGGGTTAAAAAACGACCGAAAGATTTGCACGGTCCTAAGCAAGCAAGCAAGCGAACTTAATATGAAGGATTCGAAAAATCACATCAGGTTCATGAATTCGATTTATTGAAAACTTTGCCGAGCGAAGACAGCATTCATTGATCCGGTGACCAAAAATAAACACAACATCACAGATAACCCCAAAGAACAGCGAGAGAAACCCCTTCGCCCTATAGAAACGAGAGAAGCGAAAAGACCGAGAGAGATAAATAAAAATAAAACACGAGCTGGGAAATTTGAAATTTTCACGATTTCCGCTCCAAAAAAACCGTGACCATCCTTCCCCCTCCTCCTTCTCCTCCTGCTGATCCCACCCCCGTGGCCGCAGGAGTCTATGTCCGACCTTGAGGAGCGCTACCTCCGGCAGGCGGTGATGGTGGACGTGAAGGCGCGTTTCGTGTTCCCCGCGGCGTTCCTCGCCTTCAACGCCGTCTACTGGGTCACCTGCGTGGTGGGACTCAAGTTCCTGCAGTGAAGACGCGGCACAGGAGACCGCAGAGACACCGCAGAGACACCGCGACCACAACCACAAAGACATCGTCACCACAACCACAGAGACACCACAACTACAACCACACAGACACCACAACTAGAGAGACATCACAACCACAGAGACACCGTGACCACAGAGACACCGCAACTACAGAGACACCGCACTGATGACCACACAGACACCACAACCACAACCGCACAAACACCACAACCACACCCACACAGACACCACAATGACAACCACTACCACAACCACTACCACAACCACTACCACACAGACACCACAACCACTACCACACAGACACCACAACCACAACCACAGAGACACCACAACCACACAAACACCACAACCACTACCACACAGACACCACAACCACTACCACAACCACAGAGCAGAGGTGGGACAAAGTCATTGTTATGCAAGTCCAAGTCGAGTCTGAAGTCATCAAATTCATGACTCGAGTCTGACTCGAGTCCAAGTCACATGACTCGAGTCCACACCTCTGCCACAGAGACACCACTACCACACAGACACCACAACCACACCACCACCACAACCACAGAGACACCACAACCACACAAACACCACAACCACTACCACAACACACCGATATGACTGACCAACGCATCACATTTGCTCGTCGATGCCCCGACTTTCTCTCTCGCGTTTTAGTCGCCGGTCTCTCTGCTCGTTGTTGTGAGTGTCACTCCACTGCGTTCAACTGACCAGTAGCCTCAAGGTGCACCAAGCCTGGTACTGTACAGTAGCGTTCTGCACGAGCCTCCTCCTCCTCCGTAGAGTTCATCTCTGCTCTAGCTTGTGCCACTCACTCACTCACCCACTCACTCACCACTCACTCACCCACTCACTCACTCACCCACTCACTCACCCACTCACTCACCACTCACTCACCCACTCACTCACTCACCCACTCGCCACTCACTCACTCACTCACCCACTCACTCACTCACCCACTCGCCACTCACTCACTCACTCACCACTCACTCACTCATTCACTCACCCACTCACCACTCACCACCACTCACCACGCTGTCACTGATGGCCGCCACGAGTCTCTCCAGGCCACCCACTCACTCACTCACCCACTCACCCACTCACTCACTCACTAACTCACCCACTCACCCATCAGCTCCATCACTTCTCTAGCCCGTGCCACTTACTCACCCACTCACCCATCAGCTCCATCTCTTCTCTAGCCCGTGCTACTCACCCACTCACCCATCAGCTCCATCACTTCTCTAGCCCGTGCCACTCACTCACTCACCCACTCACTCACTCACCCACTCACCCACTCACTCACCCACTCACTCACCCACTCACGCACCCACTCACCACTCACTCACTCACTTACTCATCCATCAGCTCCATTTCTTCTCTAGCCCGTGCCACTCACTCACCCACTCATCCATCAGCTCCATCTCTTCTCTAGCCCGTGCCACTCACTCACTCACCCACTCACCCACTCATCACTAACTCACTCACTCACCCATCAGCTCCATCTCTTCTCTAGCACGTGCCACTCACCCACCCACCCACCCACTCACCCATCAGCTCCATCTCTTCTCTAGCCCGTGCCACTCACTCACTCACCCACTCACTCACTCACTCACCCACTCACCCACTCACCCACTCACTCACGCACCAACTCACTCACTAACTCACTCACTCACCCATCAGCTCCATCTCTTCTCTAGCACGTGCCACTCACTCACTCACCCACTCACTCACTCACTCACCCACTCACCCACTCACTCACCCACTCACCACTCACTCACTCACTCACCCATCACCTCCATCTCTTCTCTAGCACTTGCCACTCACCCACCCACCCACTCATCCATCAGCTCCATCTCTTCTCTAGCACGTGCCACTCACTCACTCACTCACCCACTCACCCACTCACCCACTCACTCACCCACTAACTCACTCACTCACCCATCAGCTCCATCTCTTCTCTAGCCCGTGCCACTCACCCACCCACCCACTCATCCATCAGCTCCATCTCTTCTCTAGCCCGTGCCACTCACTCACACACCCACTCACTCACTCACCACTCACCACTCACTTACTCACTCACTCACCCACTCACTCACCGGTCACTCATTCACCCACTCACTCACCCACTCACTCACTCACCTACTCACGCACCCACTCACCACTCACTCACTTACTCACCCATCAGCTCCATCTCTTCTCTAGCCCGTGCCACTCACTCACTCACTCACCCACTCACTCACTCACCCACTCACCCACTCACTCACTCACTAACTCACCCACTCACTCACCCACTCACCCACTCACTCACCCACTCACTCACTCACCCACTCACTCACCCACTCGCTCACTAACTCACTCACTCACCCACTCACTCACTAACTCACTCACCCATCAGCTCCATCTCTTCTCTAGCACGTGCCACTCACTCACTCACCCACTCACCCACTCACTCACCCACTCACCACTCACTCACCCATCAGCTCCATCTCTTCTCTAGCCCGTGCCACTCACTCACTCACCCACCCACTCACCCATCAGCTCCATCTCTTCTCTAGCCCGTGCCACTCACTCACACACCCACTCACTCACTCACCACTCACCACTCACTTACTCACTCACTCACCCACTCACTCACCGGTCACTCATTCACCCACTCACTCACCACTCACTCATTCACCCACTCACCCACTCACTCACCACTCACCCACTCATCCATCAGCTCCATCTCTTCTCTAGCCCGTGCCACCCACTCAGTCATCCACTCACACACTCACCCACCCACTCACCACTCACTCACCCATCAGCTCCATCTCTTCTCTAGCCCGTGCCACTCACTCACTCACCCACCCACTCACCCATCAGCTCCACCTCTTCTGCAGCTCGTGCCGCGCCCGTTTAGCCCTCTCCAGCCAAACAGCAGCTGCTTGGCCATGCGGTGGCTGGACATGCGGGCTACAGGACCCAGCCAACGCAGCACTTGTCCGCCTGCCGGAGGAGCTCACCGATGGGACTGTCTCTCGCTCACACGGTCACTCGCTCACTCACCCGCTCACCCATTCAGTCACACAGTGGCTGTGCATGCAATTCTAGCTGAACGAAGTGGCTTATCGCGTGGAAATGCTTAACAGTAAGCCAAATACGATTAAAGCGTGATGTTGATTTTGAACATGGTGGTGGAAAACCCGGAGGACCCGGTGAGGAATCTATTGCGGCCCCACGACAGGGAGAGATCAAGATCAAGTGCATTAATTAGGTATAGCCCTGTGAGCCATTCGGCTCTTGAATCACCCACTCATCCACTCACTCACCCACTCACCACTCACTCACTCACTCACCCACTCACTCACTCAATCACCAACTCACCACTCACTCACTCACTTACCCACTCACCCACTCACTCACTCACTCACCCACTCACTCACTCAATCACCAACTCACCACTCACTCACTCACTTACCCACTCACCCACTCACTCACTTACCCACTCACTCACTCACCCACTCACTCACTCAATCACCAACTCACCACTCACCCACTCACCCACTCACCCACTCACTCACCCACTCACCCACTCACCCACTCACCCACTCACCCACTCACTCACCCACTCACTCACTCACTCACCCACTCACCCACTCACCCACTCACTCACTCACTCACCCACTCACCCACTCACCCACTCACTCATCCACTCACTCACCCACTCACCACTCACTCACTCACTCACCCACTAACTCACTCACTCACCCACTCACTCACCTACCCACTCACTCGCTCACCACTCACTCACCCACTCACTCACTCACTCACCCACTCACTCACTCACTCACCACTCACTCACTTACTCACTCACCCACTCACCACTCACCCACTCACCCACTCACCCACTCACTCACCCACTCACCCCACTCACCCACCCACTCACTCACCAACTCACCCACTCACCCACTCACTCATCCACTCACTCACCCACTCACCACTCACTCACTCACTCACCCACTCACTCACCAACTCACCACTCACTCACTCACCCACTCACTCACCCACTCACTCACTCACTCGCTCACTCACTCGCTCACTCACTCACCAACTCACCACTCACTCACTCACCCACTCACTCACTCACCCACTCACTCGCTCACCATCTCACCACTCACTCACTCACCCACTCACTCACCCACTCACTCACTCACTCACCCACTCACTCACTCACCAACTCACCACTCACTCACTCACCCACTTACTCACCCACTCAATCAGCAACTCACCACTCACTCACTCACTCACCCACTCACTCACCCACTCACTCACTCACCCACTCACTCGCTCACTCACTCGCTCACTCACTCACCAACTCACTCACTCACCCACTCAACACTTACTCACCCACTCACTCACCCACTCACTCACTTACTCACCCACTCACCACTCACTCACCCACTCACTCACTCACCCACTCACTCACTCACCCACTCACCACTCACTCACTCACTAACCCACTCACTCAGAGAGAGAGACGCAGAATCCAAATATACAGCAGCAAGCTTTGTAAGGGTCAGGATAAAACCCACGACCTCCTGTGTACCAGGCGAGGTAGTTAACATCTCTTGGCCACCGTCATGATGATGAGAGAGAGAGACACGCAGACTCCAAATATACAGGAGGTATCGTCAGGGTTACGGGATCCAACCCACGACCTCCTGTGTACCAGGCGTGGTAGGGAATATATCCTGGCCACCGTGATGGTGATGAGAGGGAGAGACACGCAGACTCCAAATATACAGCAGCAGGCATCGTCAGGATCACGGGACCGAACCCATGACGTCCTGTATACCAGGCGAGGTAGTCAACATCTCTCAGTGTCTGGGATTGAACCCACGACCTCCTGTGTACCAGGCGAGGTAGTCAACATCTCTCAGGGTCTGGGATTGAACCCACGACTTCCTACGTACCAGGCGAGGTAGTCAACATCTCTCAGGGTCTGGGATTGAACCCACGACT